TTTCCTCTCAAAGGAGGCCCGTTGTCCACCCTGGAATTTCTCTTTTCTCAAGGGGGATCTGGTCCCCCTCTTTAGGAGCACTTTTCCTCTCAAAGGAGGCCCGTTGTCTCTCTAAAAAGTATTGTGCTTCCTTCGGGATAAAATGTTCTCCTTTGGGGGGCCCAGCCTCCTCTGTGAAGAGTTGCTCACAAAAGAAACTACTCTAAGGGGGTGTCGGCCCGTTTTTCAACGATAGTAATTTCTTTGAGGCCCAGTCCAGGTTTAGGCGCCCGTTTAGGCGCCAGTTTTTGTTTGGATGCCAGGTCTGTTTCTGGGCGCCAGTTTCCCTTCAGATGCTGCGGCAGTTTCGGACTGGTTGAGGCAGCCTTGCAGTCGGCCAGCATATTTATAGCTGGACTTTCAGGTAGAGGCAGGTAGTATCGTAGGCAGCATTAGTTGACACGCTGGGCGCTGTTAGCAAGTTCTAGTCTACAGTGCTGGGCGCGTGGTTAGTGGTGACACCGGTTGAGAAGAGTTCGAGCTTGGGGACTGCAGTCGAGCTGCAGTGGGAGCTAGGAGTAGAGAAAGAGATGAGGTGGAGGCCAGGGCACTAACCTGCGACTCCATAGCCCAGCTTTGTCTTCAGCATGTCCATACCTGCACCAAGGCGCCACCTTTTTGCAGTTTAGTACCTGGTTACACACACACACACACACTTAGAGAGAGAGAGAGAGAGAGAGAGAGAGAGAGAGAGAGAGAGAGAGAGAGAGAGAGAGAGAGAGAGAGAGAGAGAGAGAGAGAGAAGACATTGAGACTTGGTGACTTTTGGACCATGCCCAGTTCAGTGGCATCGCGACTTGGACATTGGATGAGCAGCGACATTGGGGGTTCATTCGAGACTGAGTTCATCGGGCTATGGTGGCTTATTTCCCCTATGTCCTGTTCTGTTTCCTCTCTTCTCCCCCTACTTCATCTGTGCATGATGTACGGGACTCAACACCCCTTTTGTGATTGCAGTGGTGTCTTCCCCACATGTGTGATGGTGATGGTTGTCCAGTCCTTGTCATTGGCCGTATTAAGTTAGATCTTGGTATTGCAGTCTTCGGCTGTGCTATTTTTGCTCTATCTCTGAGGTCGGTTCTTGGTTCTTATCTTTGCCTTTTCGCATGCGACATAGATGGAAGAGAGAGAGAGAGAGAGAGAGAGAGAGAGAGAGAGAGAGAGAGAGAGAGAGAGA